AGTAGATGCACCGATCTCGAAGTTGTATTAACATGCTGTCATAATGTAACGTAAATCCACCAAAGCATAACAATAACGATAACCGTAATTTACTATAACGATAACGTAAATCCATGCCACAAGCGATTAATTTCCAGGGATTTTTTGAGCTTAACTCAGCAATTAGCCTGTAAAGCTTGCATTGGACTGACCAAGGCCAAATGGGCTTGATGATTCACACCCTACACTTATTGTGCAACATAGAACATGGTAGTTCTACCGAGGATGGTTGAGGTAGAAAATATTGAATTCCATTGTGCACAGTAATAAACTTTTCGTGAAGCAATTTTCCGATATGGTTCCTGCATGTGGGTGAAGTTATTATGCGTTAAAAATGAAAATTTATTACTTTCATTTTTCTCACATAGAAGAAAATCGGAGATGGAGACAAATTTTCCCTCATCCATTCAGCAGCCAGGGTCCTGCGGAGGCCCATCGTCCTCATCTGTGAAGAGCGCATTCAATCGAGTGAGATTTACCTCATATATCCTTACTCTTTTCATTTTGAAAAGCAGAAAAGGGGCAGTTAAAACCAATCACACGATTCAAATTTGTGAATAAATTTGCCATAACATAGTAAGGGTAAATAAGTAGTTACGGATTTTGGGAAAAAGTAAAAGACATCATAATTAGGCATGAAAGTAGCTGCATGTGATCAGAATAATCGAGTATGAACGTGCGTTAAGGTTCAGCGCCTATCTTACATTAATTTATATGAATCCATTCACCATTGGGATGCATTAATTTATAAATCCATTCAGGCACTTCGGACTCATAGTACAGTGTGAAGCAAAAGTCGCGCACACCAAACAAGTACATACCAAAGAAAATATCCTGGATATGCTACAACTACGGATACTCACATTCTGTGACTATCAGGAGTAGTGTGACTATCCGCTCTTCAATCTTTACCAGAGTTACAATGTAATGAGTCTATGGTTGTATTGATTTTGTAAACGGAAGTAAGCCTATATGGTTGGTGTGCATGACTTATTCATCACCTTGTCTATAATATTGTGCGACCAATGATAAATATCGATGTAGCAGTGAGTTGCAAATTGGGGATGGACATTTGTATATCGCACTTTCCCGAGTTAAGTAACCGTATGCAGAATGGGAAGCTTTTGCTGCATGCTTTATCAGCGATACTTCTCCGCCCTTCAGCCTTAAAGCGATTTTGTGAAGTTTTTGAGCCGTAAATTCGTACGCGACTAAACCTATGTTAGACACACAACATAAAACGGCTTCGTTTTCACTGATAGGAAAACTAAAACTTTTTATTGGAAGATTTGTTTTGTTCCAGTCGACTACTCGTTAATCTTTTCACTGGCTGCGCGTGAAGCACCTCTTTTTTAGATCTTTGATATCCTTCCAGACAGGGGAAAGACAGGTTTTCCCTCTCTTTACGCATGAAAAGTCACACACTCCAAATTAATATCTCTCTTCCGTAGACAGCTTTGTATGAGTTTGCGTGGAATAAATAAATTCCTTCCCCGTCCAATCAAATTTCGGGTGTTTATGAAGTGTTTTCAATTATTTCCTAAGTGACAAAGAACCAACAGCGACGATAGATGTATTGATGATAACGCTTTTGACCCAATTTCTTCCAGGGACATTCCTACCTCCTGTAAGAGATCATGAACAAGTTCAAAGAAATGAAGCTGGACAATGGAAAGGAATTCTTCTCTATGGTCAGGGGCAGGGAGATTCTATTAACATCCTTCCAGTTGTACGATTTGGAGGTAATTAATCGCCCTCTTTTTTTCCATTTTTTCCCTACTGACGCACGTACTTCCTCCCTATCTTTTTTTTTTTTTTATAAAAACGCAATCCACTCATGAAGAGCTCGCGATTGAAACATCACATGTACCAATCTTTCCCTTCAGTGTAATATTTAATTAGTAGTAATATTGATTCAATGAGTAATTGAATGTAAAAGGCATCGTTGAGATCCAAGAGACTTCGTAGTCCGATCCAAGAGAGAGCACTAAAGAAGTAACATAGGGAAAAACTAACTAATTTTTAAAATAACAAATCGATTAATATGTTATATTTATTTTGCTAGCCTACATATCGTGGCAATTAACCTGAGACCACTCTCACCTCCATGTGGCCTCTTCTTCGTGGTTAGGAGATTCGGTTAATTGCGTAATGTATATGTAGATGAAAATGACAATCATTCGTGCAGGGTATAGTGAACGAAACAAACCTTCATCCTTCTATTTTGTCGCCTCTCTCCCCTTTCTAGATGACGCAGGTAGACGGGTTTGGATGGCAGCAATTAAACTGCCCCAGCCCCATGTTGGTTTTGGTGACGAAAGAAAAACCACCTTAGCTCGGGGCATCTCTTTCCAAGGGAACGTTGGTGTGGAATGGAGGGCGCACACAGCTCCTCTCCTGTGGATCCTTGACAGATACCTAGCTGGATTGCCATCACTAAAGCCAGGTGAGGAAATGATTTTATTTTCCTTGTAATGTAAGCTTCTCTCATGGTTCTCCAAGGTATTTCCATTTAACTCTAATGCTTCTTTTGTATTTTTCTTTTGGGCCGTCCGCATTCAAGAAACTCTTCTACATATAACGGAGGATTTTTGATCTGATAATCGATTTAGCGATGATTAGTAAATGAAATTTAGCATGTGATATTTGCCGCAACATTCACTGAAGATTGTGTGACCCAGGAAAGAATTTAAACAACAATTTATCAGAACACTCTCTTCATGTCTTTCGGTTACGAGTACAAGTTCATGAGTTTGGGGCAAGGTTTTGGGCTAACATTTGACTTAGGTAATCAATTCTCCCATTATTTCGTATGGCGGAATCTGAAATAACACCCACTTGGATTCTGGGAGTTGTGTGGTCCTCCAGGTGCGCTGCATAGATAAAGAAAATGAATCCAAGCTCTTGCAACAATTAATGAATATATTATCAATATTTTCAAGTAGTAATGCCAATCAATGTCTAACCTTTAACGCAGGTAATCAAAAATTGTATACGGTGTTATATAGTAACAGTGAAACTAATTAATTTTACCGAATCTTGTAGGTATTATGTTCATACAATGGAAGAGATTGTCTGCAATAGCTAACGCCATACTGTCAATCTCGAAGCAGTTCGGAAGGGCATTAAATGTGACATGCCCATTTGCAATACAGTATTTTTGTGCTGGCATTTGGCTTTTGCTGGAAATTCCGCATTAAATTAGTTTACTCACTATCCCTGTCACCAAAGAACGAGTTAAAGATGAACTTCATAGACAGCACAGGCCTTCAAACGCTTCACGAGATTCTGAATTACTGTCTAAAGACACTTTTTGATTGGGAATGGGTTCCTTACCCCTGTAATGCAGAACTTTTTCGATTGGCATTAGGCTGGATCGACAAGGAGTGGAAACTTTTGGAACGATTTGAATAGAAGATTCTGAATAATGGTGTCCTCTATAGGTGGTCTGAGCGACGACGAGCATGGCAATTCAGAGTAGCCCAATTTGCAGGGAAAAGTAAGAAATATACAGGGTATTCATTTGCTTCCATTGCTGAATCTTCTACAAGACAGTGAGTGATGGCTAACTAGCGTCAGTGAATTTTTCTACCGTCTGATATGTCTTTCAATATCAGAATTGGATGATTTTCATGGAGATTTCACAGAAAAAAACCTATTCCCTCTGTAATATACTTCAAATAATTTGCATTTTATCTGCAATAAGAATCTGCAGTAAGAACAGTCACAATTTTGCTGCAATTATTTCTTTTTGGGACAACATTCACTTTTCTATACAGTTCCCTCACCGCTCTTTCCTGCATTGACAGTAATTTAATCGTGACAAATATTCTTGCCGCAGACATTTATAAGTCATTTCAATCACTCACGCACAGAGCATAGCATTAAGCAATGGTTCCCAAACTGCGCTAAGTGTTATAAGTGTTGGGGCCTAAAGGTGATAGCTTCTCAAGTCAGTGGCTCCTTTCCGCATGTGTGTGGGAGGAGGACGTGACTGGTCAGAGAGTGCTCATTGGTGGTCACATGCTCACGAAATTTGAAAACCACTGGCATGGTAAATGGCATCTACATGTGATGAATTTTGGGGGTGCCGTATATTTGCGACTTCGGAGGATTGAGATCGGGACAAGATGATAATCATATATTTCTCCGGCTCTGGATGCATGCGCATGCGCATGAAGTAAAAGATTGTACAAACCTGTCTCATTTCTAAATTGAACCATCGTGGATTCGACGTTTCTTTAAGGTTCAAAGAAATTAATTTTGAATATGGAGTCAACTAAGAGCAAATGTTGAATCAACGTTGCAATGCTGCTGTTGAACAATGAATGAAGGCAATTCTATTGATGTTAACGTTGCCTCAGAGTTGCTGAAAATAAATTCAGCATGGAATCAATATTAACAGGCCAATGCTTCGGCATTTGCGTTAACGTTTGACATTGATTCAATGTTGATTCACAGAGGGTGCCCTACTTGGGGATGTGAACGTCGACAGAATATCAGCCGGAAAGGGCCTATATTTAGCATAAGAATAAGCGGTAGTTATTTTTTCAAGGAACTCCTGGCCTGGAATTTTTTAATTTATGCAACTTTTTTCATATCCCAACAGAAGAAGTGAAGGAGCATATTCTTCTTGAAACAGAATTGAAGAAATGATGATTTTCACATCTACTTCAATCGTGAGCTTTGATCACATTGTACGCTTTTACAAATAAAGGCACAAACGGATTGGTTGAAAATAGTGTACTTCATTGGTAAAATCTCCCCAGCATACAATTATTTCGAGGTAATTTTAGGCAATTTAAATTATACACGAGTTTTATAAGTATTACTTCCATCAGAATCGTTATTCTGTAGGAAAGACAATACGATTTCTCTAGATACTTTCAAGTATGGTCCGTCATGCTTCGATTTATGCAAACTTTGCGAGATACAAATGCATTTGAGGTGGAACATACAAGCAGCACATAAGTATGGAAACATTGCATAAATTAAAAGGCGGACAAATGAAAACGGCAAGTAAGATTTGTTTGCTTTGTGAGTATCGTATAATTAAAATAAAGCTATCGAAGATCAGACTTCTCAGTACTACTGAGAAGTCTGAGCTACTTGAGAAGTTATGCCTAGAAAACTTGTACCGTACGGTAGCAGTTATGAAGACTGCGGCGCTCTCAGGCCGGGTTCCCCGCGAAGAATGGGCAAATTATCGCATTGAAAGATCGTATTCATAAATTCAGATGTACAGCATATGATTTGGACCAAATTAATACCAGCATATTTTTGCCTGAATGTTCGATATATTTTGAACAGGCTCATATCCATGCAAACGTGAAACAAACTTCCGTTTCTGAATCCTCTTGCACTCTAAGCATAATAATATCCTAAGGTAACAAGGAAATTGATTAGCGTCAATAGATGGTCCTAAACCTCATAGTAAGCATGCACAATTGATTATACACAAGCGATATATTAATAGTACTAGCGTAGTTGAGAAACATTTTACCGAACTCCGATTGCCTAATACGTTAAAAAAAACTGGTCAATTTCTGCAATGAGGAAACTTTTTGCCCCAATGCGCCTAATCGAAACGTAATATCGATTTCGACAATGTGAACATTTGAGGTTTTTTGTGTTTTGGGCAAAAAGCTCCACATTTGTCGTGAGTAGTTGTGTGCAATATGCATGACTAATGCAAATGTGATATTGGTGGTGGTTCTATGCTTGAAACGGACATTCCAAGGATTAGGCTTTCTTCTCAGGAAACTGATATCTAATGCATACAATTGGACTATAATGCAGAAAAAAATTACTTCCCTCCTCACTGCGACCAAACATGACAACATGAGATGCTGCTATTTAAATAGCTCAGTAGGCCTATATATTTTGAGGATTCTGAAATTTTGATGAGCTCCACGATGCGGAGAAAAGCTCCATGCCAAAGAAGAGGAGGGCAATGACACAACCGCCAATGAAGAAGAGGAACGGGCTCTGGAGATGGACTAGGGAAAGGGGATGAGGACCAACTCCTCCAGGTCTAGCGGCATNATGCTACGAAGACAGATACCCAAACTGTTAAGTGCCATGGTTGTATCAACCGCATCCAGGTTGGGTAGGGGCGTGGCGGACGAGTTAGGAATCGCAAGCAATCGGCAGAGAATGGTATAGTATAATCCACGTTTTCGTAGTGGGAATCTTTCGGAGAAAGGAAAAGACCAGACATTGCCAATTCAACTGTTCCATCGTTGACGACAGCTAGAAGACCTGTCACAGTCCCGACCTCTGTCACTTCACCCCAGGCTTCGTCCTCGGGCAAAACGAACTCGACAGAAAAATTGAGTCTTCAGGAGAGTTCCTGGAGAATGACACCTTCCAGTCCTTTCAATTCTTCCATACTCGGGATTTCGTGAAGAGGATTCCAGTAAATCCACGGTTCATATTGCAAAGTACCGACACGAAAAAGTTCACCTTGAAGATCCCATTTCGAGCTGCGACCTCCACGGCTCAGACAGATTGAATAGGGAATCACGAGGACTCCCTGCACCAGGAGAAGGGAGAATGCCTTTCCGTATACCATCACCGATCGTGAACGCCAGAATATAGTGTTGTCGGAATAGCATCCCGTCGGAACTGAGCTCATGGTAGAGGAACATATTGACATCAGGCCATTAGGACGTCTATTTAGTCATGCAGACATTCATAAGTAGTCATTATATACAGTAGATGAACGCGAAGCCTTTCTTCTCCGTCTTCACCCACTAATACACGCATCGGATGCATTAAACATGAGGCATCCTTTCGATGATTATAAGATCTGGAACATTACACATGTGGCTCTTCCGTTAAATTATAGGGGAGAGAACCGACAGGAGAAATGACTCTTGACATGTTTTACATAACCCCTCCATTGACCCCATAGTATTGATCCTTTCCAAGGATCGATGATCTCAGCGAAGTCACGCGTCAAAACTTTAAAACCTTCATTCTATGTACGTGGGTTGTTCTGTAAGTCCAGTGAAAGTTATATTTCTCAAAATTTCAGAAGCTGATTTTCTGTAACCTTTTTTCTACAGGGTTTTAGAAGCTCCAGTGAATTTTTGTATAATTTATTTATACAATAGCCTGGCACGAGTGCTCGATTTCTTGCGAAAACGTGAGCCCTCTCCCGCCTTTTGAGGTTTGGTTGTGTTGCTGTGATTTTCATGCGATAGTTCCTGGAGTTTCAAGCTCCAAGAAATGTTCTGAGTGCCATGAAAGGCTTGTAAAAGCCTTTCACATTGGAACAACGTCTAAA